CATGCGTGCGGCCCGGGTTCGATCCTCAGCACCACATACCAACAAAGATGTTGTGTCCGCCAAGAACTAAAAAATAAAAAAAAAAAAAATAAAAAGTTAAAAAAAAAAAAAAAAAGAAAACAAGGACAACTCCAAGTGTTGAGCCTGGAAAGCAGACAGTGTAGGAGGGTACAAGGCAGCTGCACACACTATTTATCAGATGAATAAGTTGTATAATCTTGGACAAGCTGTATGATCTCTGGATCTCATATTTTCATTTGTAAAACAAAGGAATTGGATTAGAATGTTCTCTTGTGGAAGGGGTAGGAGGTCCTCTCCCCATCCCCAGGGCCTCTATAGGCACCCTTAGGGCAGCAGTTCGAACCCTGGCTACAGGTTATACTAACCAAGACCCTATGTGAGACCACTTAATTCAGACTCTGGAAGTAAGCCCAAGCATGAGTAGTTTTAAAGCTGTTCAGGTGACTCCGATGTGCAGCTGGTTGAGAACACTTGCGGAAAATCCTCCAAGTACCTGCTTTGAAAACTACTAGGCTAAGTGAGGGTTGGAATCCCTTCCAGTCCTAGTTGCTTAGATTGAGACTTGTGGTTGGTGACAAGCCTCTCCGCCCCCCGTTCATCTTCCATCTGCTACATCAATAACTCCTCATAGAGGACCAATACCAGGATTTCTCGACCATGAACTATTAACGTTTGGACAGTATAATCCATTATTGTGAGAACTTTCCTGTTCATCATAGGCGGTTTAGCAGCATCTCATGTCTCTACCCACTATGCACAAAGAGCATCTCGACTCAATCAAAACAATAAAAAGTATCCAGAGGTTGCTAAATATCTACTGGGATAGAATCTGAGGAAAGACATTCTACTGAAGGTCTTGGTCCCCTCACTGCCCTCCCCCTTGCAAACAGAGGACAGGCAGAAATGGAGAGCATAGTATCACAGGTTTAGTTGGGCCCAGCAGGAGGAGGGCCCTTCCAAGGAGTCCAGGGCTGCTCAACATTAACACAATAGAGGGACGATGTGCCAGCGGGCTGACTGATGTGGTCTCAACAGAGAGGGAGGGAGTTTTCCAGAACACTCATTCCCGGATTCCCAATCAGTCATAGGAGCGCTCAGAGCAGCTTTGGGGGCAGACAGCCCTGGCTTTCCCGGAACGGGCAGAAGGGGTGTGGGAGTGGTGGTGTGTGTGTAGGGGATTCTTTCCTTCTGTAGATAATTTCCTGGCATGGCCCACTGCCCTGGTCTGATTGGTGGAAAGCTGGAGGGGAGGAACTTTCCAGCTGTGGGTGCCTGGATTCCTCTGATGTTGGGAATCATCATGGAGATGTTTAGATTGTAGGGTCTGGAACAATGACACTTTTGCACTGGCACTAAGAGGTGGGCTGGTTCTCCACACAGGGATGTGGATATTGTGGGTATACATATTCCTTAGAACTGCAAGTGGGGAGACTGTAAGCATTTTCACAAGTCACCATTTGCTTGAAGGTGTCTTTGCTTGGAGGTGCCGGGACCTGAAGGAAAACAGAGGATGGTAAGCTTCAAAGAGTCAGGGGAGGGAGCTAGGAGGAAGGAGGGAGGGTAGTGGTGAAGAGGTGGCAGTCTGCCCTAATCCCGCAACTCACTCCACCAGGAGGCTCAGAGCACCCAGAAGCAGGACAGCTCCAAAGACAGAGAATAGCAGAATCCTGGCTTCCCGCAGATCGTGACTACCTGCGGGGAACCCAGAAGGCCATGGATGATCCTGGGGATGATGTCCGCGGATGTTGGGGGAGACTATGGGCTTAGGGATGTGGGCTGGGCGGGGCCGAGTTGGGAGTAAAGACCTGGGAGGCACCGCTTTCGGGGCCAACAGGACGCCTCGGTGCCCTCGCAGGTGGAACAGTTGTATAGGATGGTGCTGCCCCCTGCAGGAGACAGAAGGAGCGTGGCTGGCCGGGGAGGCCCTGGCCTCCACCCTTCCAGCTACCCAACTTCCTCCCCAGCTGCCAGGCTCTCCTTGCTAGGCTGTAGACCTCTCATCCTTGCTAGCCCTTTCCATTTCTACTCACGGCAGGCTGGGGCACAAAGAGCTGAAATGAATGACAAGAAGAGGATCGGGGTGGATGAGCCACTCAGCTACATACCCCATTGTCCAAGATCCTAGGCACCCCTTGATGCATGCCCTTCCAGCATCTCACCTTCCCTGGTATACTGGGGGATCTTGGTCTTTTGAAGCCATTGCCAATATGAAGGGAGTGAAGAGATGGATCCTTTGATCTCTGAGGAGGTAGAGAGCAGCTCTATTGCCCTGGGTCTCAGGAGTGCCTGTTCACCCCCTCCCCCACCCCCACTTACATTCAGCCCCCTTCCTGGTCAGCCCTCCCTTCTCCACCTGCCCTGTGCCCTTCCCAAACTCCCATCATCCTCCTTGGTGTCCTCCCAAGCCCCTAGGTTTCATCTTCCCTTTGACCTCACCCATGACCCTCAGGACTCTGTGAGTCTTCTCTGTGACTTTGTTCATGGTCACCTCATCTGTGGAGATGGGCAAGGAACAGTCATTCCTTCACCAGCCAGCCCAGGTTGTTGTGCTGGGCTCTTTCCTGGGATCTGAAATTTTCCCAGGAGACATCAGTGTGTCCAGTGTGGACTGAGGCAGTGGCTGAGGGTCCCAGCTGAAGTCAAATACTGTCTCCCTTGCACAGGAACTGTTGGTGGTCCTGTCCCTGAAACTCTGGTCTTACCTAAGGCAAAAGCTGAGAAATCTGGGGAAGCCCATTCCTTCCACTCGGCCTTCAGTTGGCTGCTGAGCTGAGCCAGGCGACCAGGCAAGTCATGAGCCGGTAGGCGACAAAATATACAGGCCTGGGCAGCTGCCAAGAAAACTCCACCTACTGCCAGCATCCACATAAGGCCTACTGAGGGACTGGGTTGGAGTTAGTCCTAACTAGGCTAGGAAGGCCTCAGGATGCTTTGTGAACCTGGGAAGTTCTAGAGTATTCTAGAACAGCTGGGGGTTCTAAAGTGTTCCAGAACAATATCATTGCTCCATCCTTGGTTGGTGTAAAGCTGGGGCCTGAGGAATTGAGAGACAGCAGAAGACATCTCTAGTAGAAGACAGAGAAAGTAGGGCTTCTGTTGCAAGGGGACAGTGGCCTTTACAAGTCTGTGGTTACAAAAGCTATTTTATTTTTCTTCTTGTAAATCATCCATGATAAACAATGGGTGACTCCCCCACTGAAGAAGTTGTACATGTGTATCCCATCCACTCAGGGACCCAGAAATCCCATCCCTTCTCATTCTCCCTCACTTCCTCAAACTCTTCATCTCTTCTCTCTGCCCAGGGCAGCCTTGGGCCTTCCCCAGCTATCTCCTAGCAACAAGCCCATGGTTACCCCACCAACTAAGAGTTCCCTACAGGTTCCAGAGGCCCAGCTAAGTCCAGTGACTTCTTTTACTTCTCCCAGGAAGATCCTTGTGACTCAAACACAATCAGGCTCCTCCTGCCTACGTGGTGACATGGGCACATAAACATAAATGCCTATACACACACACACCCTGTGATTAACTAAATCTCAGTTTACTCACACATATACCATGGATAAACTTGTGCCAGAACAGTTGCTGGGCAACCCCAAACAGGCCTGGACATACAAAGATTAGAGAAGGGCCATCACATAGACACCGCAGTCAGCAACACTGATGGAACCAGGGTACCAGGAACCCACATATCAATCAGACACCTGGCTAATATGCACTTACATACAAATGAAGTAAGGTCAGTACATAAAAAGATACCACCCTCCTCCCCATGGCCAGCTTCATCTACAATATGGGATCCTTTAAAACACTTAGAATTCCAGGGACTGCTCCAGCCCCCTTGCTAATAGCTCCCTTATGTCAACCTAGGGTGGGCTGTGATCTTTCTGTTTCCCCCTCTATAGGTGGCTTGAGACACAGCGAAGAATCCCCTTTTCCATGTTCCAGAGCGTTTTGACCTCTCATTGGTCAGGCCAGTCCAAGCCACCTAGTACCAGGAGGGGAAGCCACAGTCCAGGAGACTACATTAGGACAATCCAAGTATCCCCTTCCCCCTAGACTTCAGTGTTCCTTGGGGGTTTTGTTAGGTCTAACCTGGGCATGGAGGTGTTCCCCACTTTTCAGACCCCTGAATATTGAGCTTTAATTAAAGAGACACTATAAGTCTCCAGCCTCAGGCAAAAACAAACCAAGGGAACCTTCACTGCCTCTTTCAGGTAAAGCACCAGTTCACACCCTCTGGACCACTTATGAGTCCTTGGTGGGCTCAGCTGGGAATTCCAGCCCACATCTGGGCTCCAGTCAGATGCACTGGGACCCCTGACTCTCATAGCTCAGACACCAGAGCTAGAAAAAGGCTTCAGGAAGCTTTTATCCCCTTAGCCTGCCCCTCTCACCCTTCTCCCCACCATCAAACTGAGGACAGCATCCTCAGTGCCTGACAAAGCGCAGAGATCTGGAGTTAAGCAGGTCTTCAGGGTCAGGGAAGACCGAGTCAAGGCGGAAACCATGTTCTAGAGCCACGCGCAGCACTTCCTCCAGGAAGCTCGGTGTGCCCACCACCTCCCGACGTTCTCCAGGCCCCCCAGTCCACAGTGGCTGTAACCCCAGTCTGCCATACTCCGTCTCAGGGAGTTCCGCGGGGCGGGGCGCCCACTCCAGACGAAAATGAGGGCCCCCCTCTACTCTGTCCCCATTGGCCACACCAAATCGAGCCCGCATGGCACCCAGACACTCGGGGTCTGTGCAGAAGAGGTTGGCTCGGAAGGTGTCCACCTGGACCGAGCTCAGCTCATAGTGGTGTGGGCCCCGGCGAGCAGAGAAGTGCACCAGGCGCGGGCTGACGTCTACATCTGCGTGGAGCAGGGCAGCTGTGGATGCAGGGGTCCCACGCGAGGCCTCTAGTTCCCGTAGGGCATCCAGAAGGGGCCGGATCTGGTAGAAGTCAGCTTCTGCCTTGAGAAGGGCTGTCTCTCCATACCCACGAGGCAGGTCCAGTCGGCCCAGCCGAAGGAAATTGAGGATGTGGCGGAAGGCCTTGCCATCCCGGTCGATGAAGTACTGGCCACCTTCTTGGTGGTTGAGATTGGCGGGCATCGGAGTGCCATCCCTGAACATGGCCCCCAGCATGGAGTCTGGGAAGCGGGTCAGGGTCTCCAAAGTAGTGGAATATAGCGTGCCCCCCACATTCAGGGTCACGGGGCCCCCAAAAGAAGGGGGCGAAGAGGACACAGGAGGAGGGGAAATTTTGGGGAGTACAGGAGACAGGGAAGGAGAAGAAAGGCAGAACTTCCTGGGTGTGTGCAGAATTGGCTGGTTGTGACTCGCTAGGTTGGAGGCACAGGCTGGAGTACAAGCTAGCAAGGTTTGTAGCTCACCCTAGCTACGTTGGTGGTGGTTATGGAATTTCAGGGCACAGAGAAGTTGAAAGAACAGATGAAAATAACCAAAGACAGCCAGAGAGGGGAAGAGAGCATTTGGTGTAGACGTATCTGATTTGGGGTGGTCAGTAGTTCCCTTCTGTGGTCTTCCGACAATGGGTTTCCGGAATCCAACCAGCAGGTGACGGTGGCGAGCACAGGGCCAACTGTGAAGGGCCCAGCTTCCGAGTTTCTGGGCAAATCGCTTGGGCAGAATGCGAGTCCACTCAGGGCTCCGGAGACCAGTCAGAGGCCCGGCCTGGCTTCAGCCCAGTAGATGGAGGCCGGAGCTGATGAGAGCGGATGGCGAGCCACACTTGTACCGACTGTGGGGCAACGATGCACTGTCGGTCTGAGCTGGGAGTGTCCGAGGGCTCTGAAGGAAGACGCCAAGTCTCTGGACTCTCGCACCGCAGCCTTCCAGCTGTATCGCAGCACTGAGGTCCTCTCCACCCCCAGGAAGTGGCCTAAGGGCAGCGGCCCCGGGCTCTTTAAGAGACAACCCCGCCCCTTAGCGCCCCGCCCCCCGCCCCCGCGGGGCTCGCGGGGCTCGGGTGGAGGTGGGAGCTGAAAGTCGCGGACTGGAGAGACTGGGCTGACGGGCTGGACGGGCGGACGCGAATGGGGGTGGGATGACTCATGCGTGTAGCCCCGGATGTGGCCGCGACAGCCCTGCGGTCCTCCAGGTGTGCTCGACCTCACGTCTGCAACCTGGCAGGGGCTGGAGTCTCCAATCCCACCACTGTGAGAAAACCGAGGTCCGGCCGTCTCCGTCCAGGGGGCCAGTTCCCTCCCAGTGGTTCCCGTGGGGAATTCCCGAGGGGGCGGGTGCTGAGCCACCGCATTCCAGGGATGCCTTCCGGCTGGGGTGGCCCAAGCGAGCTCCCCTAAGGGAACGCCAGCCCCCACCCCAAGCTAGCTGGACGAGTCTGGCCACGTCTCTGGAGCCCGAGAACCCCGCCCCCCATGGCCGCCTGGGGCCCTATCTGCCATTGCACTCCCCCAAGAGTCGCCTCCTGCGTGCGTGACTCGAGCCTGAAGACTCCCAACTCCTCCCAGCATCCCAGGAGCGGCAGCGCCCTACACACTCTGCCGGTCCCAGAGGTGGCGCCCAATAAATGATCTACGAAGAGATGAGCAAAGCACAGAGGCTTTAATGGCAGTGGAGAGGGGAAGGGATGGGGGAGGGGCAGGGCCCCCAAGGTCTGGGATCAAAGCGTATGGAGGTCGTAACTACGCCGGCTCAGCTTCTCCGGATCGTCTGACGCCATTAGGGAGAAGTCGCGGAAGATGTCAAAATATGTCTCATCTCCTGAGGGGGAGGGAGGAAATGCTGGGAGGCCTGACAGCTGGGTCCTAGCACTGAAGTGCACCGTAGGGCAGCTGAGGCCTGCCAGATAGGGGCTAGAACTTGGAGCGTGGGTGGAGAGAACTAGTGCTGCCTGAGCATAGCAGCGGCGCCTATTCTTTGCTTTTTTATTCAGAGCTGCTAGCACACAACGGATGTGCCCAATACATGTTCGCTGAATTAAAGCGGTTGGGCTTGAGGGAGACAGGTCATCAAAGCCAGAAGCCCAGAATTCCGGTATTGGGTTTCCAGGGATGGGATAGGTGAATTTACCTGTCTGGCCCTGGGCCGCTTCGGCCTCCCTCATCTTTGCCAATCGTAGCCTGAAGGAGAAGGAATTAAGGATCAATAACGTTCTCCTCACCCTTCCTCAGCTCCATCCTTCAAGCTGGGTTGTGTTTCATTCATTTATCCCAGTGTCCAGTGCTTAAAAGATACCGGTCAGCAATGGTGGTGCCTGAATGATGGCTCTCAGGATGAACTCCCATCCTCTTACCCTGTATGCCCACCCCAATCCACACGTCCTTTGTTTGGCCCAATCTCTCCACAACCCATCAGGCAAGCTCCCTTGTTGGCATTAGCCCCACCCTTCAGGCATTCTCACAGGGTGACGATGTCAGCATTGGCTGTTTCCATGGCAATGGTCAGAGGGTCCCTTCCTTCAGAATCCCGAGCCCCCAGATCAGCTCCTCGTTTCAAGAATAAGCAAGCGAGCCTGGAGGGGACAGTAGGTTCAGCTCCGCCATCTCACCCCTAGGGCCTTCATCCTGTCCAGAGCCTTCCTCCCCATGGCCATCATCTCCTGCTGCCCTACCCGGTGTGGCCAAGAATGGTTGCATGGTGAAGTGGGCCTCTGCCGGCACTGTCTGCTTGGTTCACATTTGCCCCATTCTGGAGGAGAAACTCACAGGCCAGAAGAGAATTCTGCATCCAGAAGTCAAAAAGGAGGATTGAGAGTGGCATCTTTAGAGGTGATTTCAAGATGTTTTAGGTGGGGTATGGTAAATAAGGGTCGGGAGGGTACAGCCAAGTGTCAGGCTTGGCTCTAACTCTTTACACGTTTTCATATATTAAAGCCATAGTACAACCTTATGAGATATGCTATCCCCATTTTATAGATGAGGAGATGGAGGCACAGAAAGATTAACAACTTGTTCAAAGTCTTACTGTTAAGCAGTAAGACCCTGGATTCAAACTCAGGTTTTAAATCACACACTCTTAGCAATGAGTCTCAATTACTTATCTCTCCCTATGGGGTGGGGACCCTAGAGAAACACTGGTGGAGTGGGGAAGAGGAAA